GATGTCGTCCTTTTTCTTGTTTATGATTGATTAGATATCATTCTAATACTAAAACATTATTGCCCGAAAAATAATGTTTATTTATTTTCTGCTTCTTAGATTCAGATCATTTTAAGCTTTGTTTACCTTAGAGGTCAATTATACGGACTTCGGAAAGTCCCGCCGATTCCGGATACGCGACTTTCCACTGTATATAATATTCATTATACTCATTAGATATACTATAATTTTTTTTTGTTTTATCTTCATTTTAAACTTATATGTATATATATATTTATATATATATATTAATATATATATATATAAACACTGATATCTCACTGTCCAAACAATAATTAGACTCTTACCAAAGAACACGTCTTTACTTTTCAGCCGCTTCGTGCGAACTCTTCATATCTTTATTTACAACATCTACCTTGATGACAGCTCCATCACAACACGTAGGCATGACACACACACACATATATATATTAACATCTTATTATTTTTATAACCCAATGATGCTTTTAATCAAGTTTATCTTTTTGGTTCAGTTTCTTGATTATTTATATAATATAGGGTGCTTTAAAAAATTTATTTTTGCAATTTATTTAATTAATGGCGACTGTAAATTTTGAAAGTTGTAAAAATTCAACTTTTTAGTTTTAATGATTTTTTAAAACCTGATTTTTCATATCAACTTTATTGCCTATAGACATATTTAGTTGCTTTAATATCAAATTTTTTTTTGAGGGGGGGGGTGGTTCTTTCTATCATTTGACAGCTATTAAATTTATAGTTTGGAACTAAAAATACAAGCCTTTTTTAGTATTTTAAGGTTCAACAATGTTCCTCTTGTGCGGTAGAAAAAATACTTAAAGCAGAAGATTTGAAGGTATTGTTTATTAAACAGGAACATGAATGGGATGAACCACAAACAGTACTAGTCATGCAGATATTAGTGACACTTAACTTTTACGATCATCAGCAAACAGTATTAATTTTTTCTTGCAAACAATTACAGAAAATATCAATCTTTCATGTATAATTACAAGGCAACATTAAAATTTGTCTAAAGAGATTTCTGCTGTATCACACAGTGATGATTTTCCTTGTTAGCGGTGTGTGAGTAAAATCATATTCAAAAGGCTCCTCTCTGAAATGAATTGGTGGGGAAAGTGGGCTATGATATTAAAGAACATCAGAGCTGCTGGAGAGTTACTTAAGTATTATATAATAACTAACCTAATATTGAAGCCACCAGAAGTTACTTTAAAATTAATTGCAGACAATTTACCTAAAACTTTTTAGAATTGCAAATTTCTAAATATTAAAAAGCCTGATGTTGCAACCAATGGCTTTACTGTTAGGTGACATATGACACAGTTAACACAAAATATTGGTAATCCCTAATCTAAATAAAGCATTATCTGACGAGCAACCAACAGCATTGAATTGGTATGTTTCATACTGTTAATTCATAGAACATTACAAAATATGAACCTGGAATCAAATATTAATTATCGTATGCTCCGGCGTATAACGCGCGTTTTTAATACAAAAAATAACGTTGGAATTTACGGGTGCGCGGTATGCGCCGAATATTAAAAATTATAGATTAAAGGTTTTCTCGCCCTCCAACATCCAAGTGTTCCACTGTTTTTTTAAACTGGCTTTAAATGGTTTGTTTAAGCAGACGTCCAACGGCTGAACTAATGGTGTAAATCCGCCCGGAATAACTGCCATATCGGTGTTACATTGTTTCAACAATTTTTTTGTATTATCTGTAAGGTGGGACCTAAACATGTCCCACACTAAGAGGCTTTCTGGTTTTCTTACTCAACCAGGATGGATTTGCCAGACATTTTTTACCCACAATTTAACACCATTTTCGTCCATCCAGCCTTTTTCGTGGACATGAACAAAAATTTCTTTTGGAAAATTACATTTGGGAAGAGTATATCTTAAAATTTAAAAAAAGTATTAGAAATTACGGGTTCGCGTTATGCGCCGGAATATACGGTAAATATTTTATAACACCAATTTTATAGATTATGAAAAATTATCTGGAAAATCTCAGTGTCCTTAAAAAATTATTTTTAGATTGCAGAAAATTATTGCTAGATGTAGATAGGTTGAAATAAGTGTCAGCATATTTTAACATTTATTTTTATTATTTATAAAGCATTAAGCTATGATGATTTTCGATATTAATGCATTAAATGTTTATATTTGTCTACATTAAATATTGAATTTTTTAAAATATTGAATTTTTGTTCATGTCCACGAAAAAGGCTGGATGGACGAAACATCCTTACTACTTTTTTTATATTATGAATCATTTAGTTTAAAAGAATATAATGTTCTACAGTAAAAATCAACTATTATAAATAGTTCACATAATTGATAGAATAAAAAAAGCTAGACAATTCCATTATTTAAGTTTTTAATCTTCATTCATTTATTTAACATACCTGCCAACTCTCCTGTTTTTTAACGAAGACTCCTGTATTTTGCTACCATCTCCTGTTTACCCATATGTTCTCAAATTTTACTGTGTTTGTTGAAAAAAAATTTTTAATAAATTTCTTGGTGATAAAATATTTACTGGTGTCAAAACTACTTCTCTTGTTGCTCAACAGATGGTGCTACTGCTAGTACTGCAGTATATTGAGTGTTAATAGTTTAAGTAATTATAAATAATAGTTTTAAAAAAAATCTTCTTTAGATTAAGATTTATATGCCTATTTTTTACTTCGCTAAATGTAAGTGCTTATTTCCCATTTTGAATTTCCCTTTTTGACTTACATGATTATGCATGATGTATCAAAAGTTAACTCATATAGTAAAATCTCCGTTATTTTATTCCTCCAATATTGTCAAGCATGATTTAATATGTCAACAATAAGAGATAGATTCTTATTCAAAGAGTTTTTTCTTTTTAGTTTAATTTACATTCTATCCTTTTATGCTCTGACAGTATTTTTATTATTAAAACAAATTTATATTCCTAACTCTTCTAAAACTAATATTGGGAAATATCCTTTGAATTCTGAAAGTCCTTTGAAAGATGAAATGTCAAATTAGTTTAATCTCTGTAAATCAAATTATATTTGCTTTGGTTTTTTGTTATCATAATGTGTTTTATAGATATGGCTCGAAAAAATACATTGCTTATTCTAATGCTATTTTTAATCAGTTTAATATATATTGAGAATTTTTTTCAGGAGTAGTATTTCTGTTGCATCGAAAGTAAATATGTAACCATTAATGATAAAGTCTTATATCCAAAATATTAAAACTTAAGGGATTTTTGACTTGCAAAGAAAAAAAATTATGAAATCATATATATCCAAACTATATTAGTAGAATTGTAGCTTTTCTAAAAATAGTATGTACAATTTTAGTAATTGAGTTACAATATGTGGGGGAATATTAAATTGAAAATTTTTAACACTCTTAGCAGAATCATCTGCTATTTCAGACAAGATATGTAGGACACTGATCAAATAATTTATTTTAATAATATATATATATATATAGTGAATTCGCACGTGTCCACCTCACCCTATTGATANTATATATATATATAAAAGACAAATTAAGATACAAATGCAATAATAATGAGAATTGGAGAAAAAAACAGTATTAAATACATAATTCCAAGTTGTGACAGTGCCAAGCTACTATGGTCGCTATTGGAAGAATATTTGGAAAAAAAATTTATGATAAAATAAAGCAATTTAGTTATTACCTCGCAAAAAAAAAAAAACTAAAACGATTACTACTATAGCAGTGTTTCCCAAAGTGTGGTACGCGTACCCCCAGGGGTACGAGAACAGTTTAGCGGGGCAGTTTAGCAAGAATTTTTATTTAAAAACAAAGCTAGCCATGAAAAATTACGATTACGTATTTTTCTAGTGGCTATTTTTTGCAGAGTTAACAGTTAATAATTAGTGATGTCCCCAGCCAGTTGTGATCTTTAACTTTTGTGCAATTTTTTTATAGTAAAAAATACATTAATATTTTTATTAGTGGTACACAGCATTCTGAAAAATTTAGGAAGGGTATGCAAAAGTCATAAGTTTGGGAAATACTGCAATATAGGAAAAAAAAGAAAAACATTAACAGGAAAGAAACATGCTAAATATTACTTTGTTCGAAAGTTTCTAACAGGAAGTAACATCCTAAAAATCAAAAGAGAAAAACGTTAAAGGAAATTAAAGTGGAGACACTTACATGCATGGCAGCTTTGTCAGAGGGGCATTACCATGCGCTCAGTACCGGAGCAGTTTCAGCGGTTGGCACTAAATTACCGCAAACGACCATATCACCATATATATATACAAAATACTCTTTGTATTTGTCAAAATATTAATAGAAATTAAAAAATTATCAAATCTGACAATTCTGTTTTATGTAAATATACAGATCACAAAAACTATGTAATTTCTTATCTTTTTCAGATTTTTCTATTCTGACTTAAATTATCTTAATTTCATTAAATGTTAATGTAATGTATTTTTCACTTCCACATTATAATTTATTTTAATTATTTTGCATATGTGCTTATTTTTACTCATAATATGTTTATGTATATTTTTGTAGCTATCTCTTAAAAAGAGTCAAACTAGAGGAATTACAGAAAAAGATTGCAAGTTTTTTTTATGTACAACAGGGAAAGAAGAAAAAGAAGTTGTACAATTTTTTTGTAAATAATCCAATGTATGAACCAATTCAGTGTAATTGTCATCTTTTCCATGGAAAATATCATTAATGCATTTATTTTTCATGTAGAAAAATAAAATTGAATTACTCATTTTGACTCTTTATTTTGTTTTTTACAAAATAGGTTTTTTAATAACAGTTTTACAATAATCATGTCTGTGAATGCCAGAAAGATTCTTGATACTTGATTAGTAACTATAAAAAATGGGAGCTATTAAAAATGCAGAAATCAATTTATAAATATGCCAAATTATTAAACTATAGTTACACTCATATTTCAGGTTAAATCTTTATCTCAAAGTTAAGCAAAAGAAAATTTTTATACTTATACAATTATAATAACAATACTAAGCACACTCAGTTCAAATGTAAAAGAAAAAGGTATGTTGTTGTTTTTTAAACTTAGGCTTTTTTAAACTCTTGCTACTCAAGATCAGATCCCACTTTCTTGAGGAAAATTTTTTTACTTACCCAGAAATGTGTTTGTTTATCTCGTTATTAGATATGTATATTATCGAGGTATTTCTTATAATACTGCGGCAAGAATATCCATTTCCATAGCTGCCAATTCTCCCAGAAAAATCTGGAGTCTTCCAGATTTGGGAAATATCTCCTACATTTTTCTGAAATATTTTAAATTTTTACTATGTAATTTTTATTAAAAAAAACATTGATATACATGATTGCTATTTTTGTACAAGGGGGGAGGAGAAATAAAAAAAACTCGTATGATCCAGCTGCTATTAAATTATCTGGTTCCAAAAGAAGTAAAACAAATATTATTATACTAGTTAATAGCGTTATTTCTAGGTCTAGTTAATAGCATAATTTGCTTGTATTCTAACTTCAATATAAGTATATTTTTCAATGTTTTTTCAGTATCTTTTTTTCAATAGTTATTTTACTTCCTACAAATGAAAGCAAAAAAATATATTTCATCATAGTAGCATATTTTAATGAAAAGAATTCTTAACTTGAAAATGGATTATGTTCTGCAATCTTACTCTGTGAACTTAAAATTTAATTCAGTTAAGCCTTAGTCTTTAGCAACAGATTTTAAATGCTTTATTAGAATAAATAAAGTTTTATTTTGTATAGCTTGAAAAAGTTATTCTGTGTGTATATTTTAAATACATATGTTTATAAAATTTCAATGCAGTTAGAATTCAATATTATTGGAAATCCAGTATGTTGTAATTTGCTATTTATCTGGATTGATTTGCTGTAAGAAGGGAAAGTCTCTAGGTACTCCAAAATTTCCATTTATGTTATAAATGTGCTGTACACAAAATCTCCCTATTTTTGATTTTCCAATGCTGGGAGCTATGCATTTCATCTTGAGCATGTTGAATTACCATTTTAGATTTAGATTATCCAGGGGACAATTGGTAAAATTTAGGAGCTTGATTTAAAAATAACATTTTTAAAAGTCCCTCTCAGAATAAATTAAATTGAATACATATGATTGGCTCTTTTAAATTTAATGCTCTTTGCAGCTTATACAAGTGGATAATAGAAAATTACCATTGACAGCCAAAAAATTATCATTTTGCAGTAAAAATTGAGAAATATTTTCTAAATTGTTCCTCAGGATTTTAAAATTCTGTCTCATTTTCCACTAAAACATATGGTTTTAATTGCCATAAATTGATATGAAGTATAATTTTTTTTTTGCCTCATTAATATTCCTATTGAATTACATTAAAAAGTTAAAAAATATTTTAAAGCAAAAAGTTTATTTCGTTTGCAAATGCCACACACTATTACAAACAAGAGCACCTATGCTATTAGTGCACATGCTCTCCTGTATTTTTCAATTGTACAATAAAAATTCTGTAATACAGAGCACACTTCTAAATGTGCAATGCTGATATGAAAGAGGTGAGACTTCAAACAGTCACAGCTACTTTTCTAGGGCCAAATGATCAACACTGGAGAAGTGACAGCACTGTAGCAGATTTAATTTTACCCAGGGTGCACCAAGTTGTTTCCTGCTATGTTACACCCCAAAGTAAAATATCTAAGATTCGTTAAAAAATATTGTTCTATCAAAAATATTTATTTTTACTATCAATTTCATGGTGGAAATTTTTCTGAACTGACAACAAATATTTTCTATAATGTGCTTACTAGTTACTCTTAATTAGTTCTGTTTAATATATTATTAAGAGCAGCAAAAAATAAAATATGTGTCCTCCATATATTTTACCGCTCATAATATATTGTTTTACTGATATCTACTTGAATCCTTTTATGTGATATGTTCATTTTTTAACTTTAATAACAATTAAAAGTGTTTTATTTTTTGTACATGAATAACACAGAATTTAATAATAATTATAATGCCATTTGTTTCAAAAATCAGGGAAATTTGATTAATAAACCTGAAAAGTCAAAGAATTTTTCATCTAAGTGTATGTGGCTATCCTGTAATTGTTTTTTGAAGTATTAAATTTTAAGTCTTATTTTGTAACATGAAATAAAGTTCCTTTTTCAGAAGAAGGTGCACTTAACTCTATAGTGTATGACACCAATTTAAATTATGTTTTGAGTAGAAATTATTGATGTCCGAATGTGTATTTAATGATTAGTTTTGTGAATTTAGTTTCTTAATTGTGTTTGACAATGTTAAAATCCAGTCTTATTTTCAACTAATTCAAGGGATTTCAGTCGCCATTTTCAACAAAATTTAATGCTCAGCTTCCAAATATATGACAAAATTTTAAATAATGACTCTTATAGAAATTGTTGATGAACCAAAAATATTGATTTTGCTGTTTTTGAAATAAAGCTCTAAAGCATCTCAACATTAAAATTATATCATGTTTTTATTGAAAAATAAGAATTTCAACTGCCATTTACCTTTGCATGGCCAATTTGAAGTGGGGTTCATTATGAACCACAGTTTATTTTTCTGTTCATATTATCTTTAAAAAATTTAATAGTAGATCTTGCTAATATCTGTAAGTAACTCTATTTTTTATTATTCCGAGAAATATATTTCAAAATTAAAATCTCTGTTTTTGTTTTTTATCTGTTTTTTCTTTTCACTTCTATTTTTGATATTTCTCAGAATAATGAATACGGTCACAAACATGTGTTAGGAAGGTCAATGGCTGTATTATTAAAAACAAAAAAATTTGTAGAAGTATGAATAGAAAATTAATGGACCCCACTTTTAGTGAAAAGTTCTATTTAGTATCAGTTTACATAGTTTTGATAAAATAAATTTATATTTACTTTAAGTGAAAAATTATGCCTCAATGAAATTGTTTTGCTTGAGTCAAATATTGATTTGTTTCAATACTTTTTTTTTGTCATATATTATAAAAATATTAATTCTTACAATTTAATGAAAATAAATGTGCTCCATTATGGGATTTCACTTCACCATTTGTGTTAATGGAAAAGCTTTGCAGTGTAAGAGTGAAGACAAAGTAGCAGCTGAACACCAAAATGATATTGCAATCCAAATTTCAAACCTTAAAAAAAAGAGACCCTTTTAACTACAAAATTCAGGAAAAATTCACTATTGCAATGCAAAGGTCGGAAATTAATTTTTAAGGCATTTTTTTTTTAATATCTAAATTCGGGGAAAATTCTAATCATGAACTAAAAAGTTTTACACTGTACTTCTTCGTCTAGGTTGAATTAGGAATCTTTTATGTGGTTGTCTCTGCATCCTGCACAAACTAAATTCTGCAACAAAAAACGAATTTTGTTCTGACAATTATATGATTTGTCAAATCACTACTTAAAATGGATTAATTTCTAAAGTATTTTTTCAAGGGAAAAAAAATGCACTCTTGTTTTCACCTTAACATGAGATTTAGACTGCTGATTCCCAGACAAAAATGCAGCTCAACTCCAAAGTTAAGAATATTTGCACCATTTTAAAAGAATGACTGGTATAAAAAATATTTATGTTCAAAAAGCGTTTGTTATGTGGTACAAAAGTGGGAAATTAATATCTGAATTATCTTTTCCAACCTCACAATTCTGTCAGTTATTTTCAGTTCAGTACAGTTATTTTCTCTAAAACACTAGATAATTTTCTATTTTGGACGTAATTGCTGCTTACTTCCAAAGTCTACACTTAACCATTTTAAAGATTGTTTTTTGTTAAAAATTTCACTAAGCAAACATTTAAAATTCATTCCAAAATCGTTATTTATTACGATTAAAATTCTGATATTTCATAAATAATATGTATTCAGATATCTAATTTCAAACTAAGTTAGAATTCTACCCTATAAGGCATTAATAAATTATTTTATTTATAACATTTTAACGAATCAAAGAATTCTTAATTAAAATTTATTCTTTTAAATATTGTTCTTGATTGAGCGAAATTATTTTTATCTATCATTATCAAATATTGAATTAAAAATTATTACATTTTGTTAAAAAAAAAAATTTGCTCTTGTGTAATTTGAAAGGAGAATAAAACACCACTTTTACGTTGATATTAAATTGGATAAATGCAAGCTTTCCTGAATTTTAATTGTCATCTTCCCAAAATAGTATTTTTCATTCCCGCAGCTTGAATAACTTTTTATTTGTATCCCTTGTAAACTATTCAATTAATTTTGCTCTAATTTTAGATTTTATCATTTAATTTAAATTAAGTAGTTTATAAAAAGTAAAATTTTGGTGAAATAAATAATTATGAATATTATCTTTTTATATGAAAATATCTTTAGGTTAATGAGGACAATAAATAGATGCAAAAGTTTTTAATGGACATAACGCTTGATTCCGTGTTTCAAACTTTAAAGAATAAACTAATAAATTCAAAATAATTCCTAATGTGATATCGTCCATTTGTATAAATTTTAGATTGGGTACACTCGGTAGATTTTATTAAATTAGTCTTTTTCTGAAAAGACTTATAATTCAACAATTTATTTTACTAAGTTGCCATGATATAAATTTATAACAGTAGTAGTAAACTTACGCTGTAGGAATTTAAGTTTTAAAACTCACTTTATCATTCAGAGCTCTGAAAATGAAGACTTGTCCTAACGAGTTATATCTGTAATATACAGCCATCCCAACCCGAAATTTGGGACTTTGCCTTGTCATGATTATGCTTAATGTTTAAATTAGTAAGGAAAAGTCCCGCAGTGGACTGATCGTTAAGACACAATTCCCAGCAGATCACCGAAGTCAAGCATCACTGGCTACGGTCAGTGTGCGGGTGGGTGACCACTTGGATCAGTCTGCGTAGGGACCGGGTGTGTGCGGTATTGATCCTCGTTAAACTGTGCTACCGTAAAGTGCTCGACTTCGCACGCAGGTCGTCGGGCTACCGAAGCGGGGGTGCCATCCCCTCCGCAGAGAATCAAAATTGTGATGGCATGTCTTATTCGGATCATCCTCCAGGATGCTTTCCAGACCGTCGCCAATAGCCCATTGTGCAGCTCTAGTGCGACGTAAATTAACAGCAACAACAAGTAAGGAAAAGAAAGCATTAAATTCCTCGTTAAGTTGTTAAATTTAGGTATAGCGCTGAAAAGGAGCATTGTTTAATGTATCCGTTTTCTTAATTAAGCCATGTTCATTTTCTAAAATATGTATTTTGTTCCATGTTCATTTTCCAATTATGCATTTTGAACCTTGTTCATTTTCTAAAATACGCATTATAAGCTGTATCCATTTTCTTAAGAGTCAGTTTTTTTTTTATATATAGAATGAAAAAAAATTTGGCAAGATTGGATACTTGTCATTTATGATTTTGCTGAAATTTTCAGGATATTTTCTTTTTTTAAAGAAAGAAAGAAATGAGGCAAATTAGGCAAGGCTGAACACTTGTTAATTTTGATTTTGTTGAAATTTTCAGGAAATTTTCTTGGTGTAAAACTATTAGACATCTTTTTCCTTTTTTTCAATTTCACGAGGGATTCTCCAAAGATTTTTTTTTGTCTAAACTGAAGTACCTCCGGAATTTCGAGAAAAATACATTTATTTACATGTGGTAATACTTTTTGTGCAATGAGTGAACCACTGCACTGACCATTATTTTGTATTCTACTACTTCCACACTAACTATTAAGATATAAATACTTTTAGTGGACCTTTGCATCAATGGTAAAAGATCTTTAAAAAAACTTTGAAATAAGGCTATTTTCATAAGACTTTGATTTTCAAAATATACATTTGCCAACACTGAACCTCAAAAGTATATGTTTCTGTGAATACGTACTAAGGTACATTTGGTGACATTTTAAAATTGACTTTAAATTTGCAAGAAACTGAAATTTTGCGACTTAATAACTATGCACAAATGTTTAAATAAGTTAGGAAAAGTAAATACCAAATCAATCATGTTGTCCAATTTAAATTGAACTCTACACAGGAGTTTTTTTTTTTTTTTTTNTTTTTTTTTTTTTTTTTTTTTTTTGCTGTGTCTATTTTCTTAAATACGCATTTTGAGTCATATTCGTTTTCTTAAATCAAATTTTGGAAAAGTCGTATATTTTTAAAATTCGATTTCCCAGGAACTATTCGATCGATTTTGTTCAAATATTATAATTTTATCCATTGCAAGAAATGTATTTTATTTAGGGAAAGCAAGTTATATTATTGGTTTCGTAACATTAAATATCGTTAGCACGAAGAGATTCAGATTAGGGATTAGAGAGTTTCGAATCATAATAAGGGAAGTACGTTTAAATGCAATTATTAGATCAAAAGTTATTCAGAAAGTTCACTTCTTATCCTGCACTTTGTTAATTTTGGGCTGTGCTCTGTCCATCCTAGGATTTTCCAACCTGAAGGTGGGGTAGAGGGTCATAACAATAGATATGATCCATCAATGTGTCAAAGGGGAAAATGTATTGTTATGAATAGATCTTTGAAGTGGGGACTCTTGAATTTTAACAAATGTCCATCGCCAAGCATTTGGCGAATGAAACATCTCTTTAGCAACCCCTAAAGATTATACCACCACGTGTTGTCAATATAGTATTTTTAGCAATCAAGATGGATATATTTTTTCAAAATTTGGAGAAAAAAAATCCTGAAACATGAAAAGTACCTCTATTATTTTCATGGGGAATTGAAGAACAAGACAGCTTGGTCTTGTATCAGAAAAGAAAACGGG